CGCTCTTTCTCTCTGGTATTGGTCGCGGCGCGTCTTGTAAACGCCGCGAGAGTATTGTATAAAAGACGGTCACGATATAGGTATAATTTAAAAGGCGACCACGAGAACGCGAACGCTCGCTTCGCCGCAATTAATAGCGAGCCGTACGGACATCTGGATCGTGTTCGGAATACCGCGGAGATGTATCGGCGAGTTATTTAGCAAAGGAAGAAAATAGAGGATCGAGAGAGGAGTCCTAGCTTTTGCTCTAGCTATCTCTCTGCTTTACTTTATTTCTTACTTCTCCTCTTCTCTTCTTTCCTCTCCTCTTCACTCCTCTTCTGTTCTCTTCTCTTCTCTTCTCTTCTCTTCTCTTCTCTTCTCTTCTCTCCTTTCGTCTACTCTCATCTCCTCTTCTATCCTCTCTTATTCCTATCTTCTATTACTATCCTCGCAGAACTTACCTTTTAATCTTACTTATACTGAGATTCGCGGGAATTAACGACCACGCCTCGCGTACGAGCTCGCACACAGTGTTTCCGGGACCACGGCCCCGGAAAAGAATTTCTTACACTTCCTTTTAATGCCGACGCACTCGTGACTAAACGATATATATATATATATAATATATTTTATATATAGAGTAATATGTTATGTAGATATCTATTATATATGTAAAGTATTGTGCTGTGTACGTATCTACGTATAGAGCATGATGTTATTTATACATCTATGCGAACAATAGGGGGTGTTATGTGTACTTATGTGTGTATATATATATATATATATATATGCTTATATGTATGTATAGACTAGGATATTACATATGTATATACAAGATTTGATTAAGATCGGTCAAGAGTTCCTTGGGATTATGTAGTTCTACAATATGAAAAAAAAAAAAAAAAAAAAAGAAAAAAATTACTCTAAGCTATCTTTAATATGAGTAATAAGATTTTTTTTATAATGATCTTAAAACAGTGTTGATTTGTACCGATGAAATCTTCGATTATATTTGTTCATTAATATTTAAGAAGTTAATAGTAAAATAGTATTTTGTAAATTATTTGTATTTATTTATTTCTTTTTTTTTCTTTCGTTTTTTTTTTTTTTTTTTTTTTTACACTAAGGAAAAATCTTTTTTGATTGATTTATCTCAAATAAAAAAAAAAAAAAAATATATATATATATATATATGTAACGTACGTATACTTACATTGAGTGGATAGAAAATGATGGATATGCTTTATATTGTTTACGTCAACTTGTGTTTCAACATAAACACATAAAATACAAGTTCAATATATCTACAACATCGTTCCATATTGACGTACGTACATTAAATTAAGATGATTAGTATCTAATAATATCACAAAGATCATTCTCATTCGAAGTTATTATCTGCATGTTCTATGGTATCGACATGGTATTCTATGGTATTGACAGGATATTCTTTTTTTTTTTTTCTTTTTTTGGAATGAGATTAAAAGTGAAAGGATAGCTTTACGTAATTTCACCTATCCCGAACGCTATTTCAAATGCTTTCGTATGACGAAAAACGAAACGTCAATTATTCCAGTAGTATCGAGGAATATGTTAATTGACAAGATTAACGAACCTTTTTATTGCCACGTTAAAATATATTGATATATCGAGTTACAATATATTAAACGGCGAAACGATCGATTTGATTTAATGCGAGGGAAAGTTTCGATTATCGATTTCTTTAATTTTTCATTTTTTTTCTTTCTCTCTTTCTCTTTCTTTTTTTTTATTTTTTTTTTCTCGCGAAGACTTCTGAATAGACAACATAAAACGAATATCTATAATATCGCGAATAATATTGACGTTGTTATTATATCGTTTCACATTAATGAGTCAATACGTCAAGAGAGAAAGTTGCCATTTCGCGGGAATATAAGAGTTTACTTTTCGATTGATCAACAAGTCGTTATTCGAGACGATCGATGAAATAAATTGTGGAGACCAATGATATGAAGGAAAGAAAAAATGAAAGAAACAAATAAATAAACAAATTAACAACGAAAAAAGAAAAAGAATAGTGAAAGATAGAAAGAAAGAAAGAAAGAAAGAAAGAAAGAAAGATCTGATATTTAGACGTATCAAAGACAGAAAGAAGACTGGACATTGACTTCTGCCATTTACGAGCTCGAAAGTTCATTCGTGTTTCTTCTTATTACATCCAAGTAAGTCTCCATCGCGACGAGGATGTTCGATGCGAAATATCCGGCCATTCTTTCATTTACCGAAGGTAACGACGATCATTTGCATAACGATCTTTAATGACGTGTCATCGCGATAAAAAGACGATACCATATCCATAATTAGTAACAATGATTCGTGATGACTCGGAGCGTTCATATATTTTCATAAATTTCGACACACGCTTTATACAATCATCGTGTTTAAATAATTTGAAATTAAAATACGAATTAAAATACGATATATACATATATATCGTATTTTAATTTCAAATTATTAAATCAAAATATGTATATATATATATATATATATATATATATACATATGCATATAGAAAGTATAAGGAAAAAAAAACTAGTTTATGGATTACTTTGTATTAGGTTGGAAACTATGAAACGGGCATTAAATGAAAATAAATAACTAAACAAAAACGCCCGTTTCATAGTTTCCAACCTAATAAATGATATGCGAAAGAGAGAAAGAAAGAAAGAGAGAGAGAGAGAGAGAGAGAGAGAGAGTGGAAAAAAATAAATAGTCAAAGTTTATAATTGAATTTTTAACAACAATCGATTTTGTATTAATATTTTATACGATTTTAAGTGCGTTACGTATAAATGTAATGAACTCTCGAAAGACGATAGTTTCGAGAGATCGAAGGAGTATCGGTTTCTCTTTAGAGTGGTCGCACCTTCGAGGAAGAAATCGTTATGTAATCTATCGACACGCGGGACTCGTTTCAGGTCTAGAAATCTTCGTCCATTAGAAGATTCAACTTTCTTTCTTACGATCTTATTCCGCATTCATTCGATGATCTTGAGCAACGATCGATCGATCTATCGATTGATCATCGCGAGTTTGGAATCTTAACAATTTTACAAATACGGAAGACGGTATAACGCGGAATTTCTATTTCGCGAAACTATAATGATAATAATAATAATAATAATAATAATATAATGAGAATAATGATTTATGGTCAAGATCTGATCTACTTCCTAGAAGATTTAGAAACGCGTGGAATTTTTCATACTTAAAATGGCCTTCCATTACACGTATTTCATGTATTATTCATTTTCATATTATTTTTATTGTTCGACAATTTATATATTATTGTCAGGTGTCTATACTATTGTGAAACGTACGATAAGACAATGTTAAAAAGAAAAAAAAAAAAAAAAAAAAAGAAAAAACAAAAAAAAATCGATTTTACACTTGGAGCAAAATGTA